CTGAGCAGATACTCCAACGGAGTGCTCAGTGCTGTATGGGTAGCCCGATTCGTCGTGCGTAGGGCGTCTAGGAGCAGAGCGGCTCCTTCCGCGGGCTGGCCCCGCTGACGCACTTCCGCGGGATGGCCCCGCCGACGCACTATCACGTGTCACTGGCCTTTGATCGTCCTGCTCGGAGTCTCGGGGAGGCGACGGTCGCCTGTCCCTCTTGTCGTACCGCATGTCATCCGAGTCCTCTGAGCTGTCCTGGGCCATGAACACGTTTTGATACGGGCTTCTGAAGTATCCGATGTCATTTAACTGCTCCATCGAGAGGTCGTTAATGTTCATTTGATCGCAACCTTGCATGAATACATCCATAGACCAAGCGGGTGGCCCCGCTGTTGCGTCTAGCATTTCTTCGGCGGGTGACCCCGCTAGAGCTTGGAGTGCTGTGAGCATCTGAGATGCTGACATGTTCGAATCCAAGTATGGACGTAGACGTGCAACTCCTGGGTGTGACAGCAGTTCATTCATCGTCATCTGCTGCTGTGCTGGCGCACTCAAGAGTCGGATTGCTTCGGAAACCTGCTCTTGGAGCATGTCGTTGTAATCTTCTTCGGATTCTTCGGAATCGGAATACGCGGGATGGCCCCGCATTTCGTCATCGGCGTCTCCCATCTCCGAACCAGCCCCCGATGGATTTGGCAGCAACGGCATACCAATCACTTGTGGGGCCAGCGCGGCGGTGAGTTCTTCCTCTGTTGCCGGGACGGTCTCGGCTTCGGAGACCTCGTCACCGGCGGGTGGCCCCGCTGGAAGACCGAACCAAGCGTTGTACGCAATCTCATCGACCTCGTCCCAGCCGTGGAACTCGTCGAAGAGGGTCACTGCGTAGTCTTCCAGGGCCACAGTTGCTTCAGCATAGCGGGCCATCACGTAGTACGTGGAGGAGCCCGCAGCGGGAGCCGCTTCTGGATTGACGTAAAACTCGTAGTCAATGTAATCTATGTCATCCATAAAAGAGTTTTGAGCCAAATGTACGGATCCCTTTCCTTTCCCCTTCGGGCATTGATCGCGCAAATGCTCTGTGCTACCGCATGTATGACACTTCATAGTATTACCAGAAGCGTCCCTAGGGTTGCCCCTCCGCCCCTTTCCCTTACCGGAGGTCCGCCTGTGACCTCGACCTTTGCCTCCGATAAGAACTTCTTCAAAAGCCATATCAGTTAAGGACGTGAGGAAAGCAGTAATACCCCTACCATGCATACGGCGCCTGCGACCCCCTTTACCACGACCCTTTCCAAATTGTTTGAAATGTCGGCGTACTGCACGTCTCACCTTTCTGACTGGTTTCTTCATAAAGCGCCTCCAACGGCGTTTTGATTTGCGATAAGCCATAAAGGCGGCCTCCGCCCTTTGTTGTTCAGAGAGGTGAGTGTCATCCGCTGGATAGTCATTGCCAGCAGAGACTATGCCATTGTGCTCATCGTCAGATGAGGTATCTGTGTCAGTGCCAGATTCAAACGGTGAGGGTGGCTGAGACCATTGAGCGGATGACTCCGCTTGGCCCCAGAGGGTTGTGCCCGAGGGCGGGCCTGCAGTGTAGGCGGCGCCCGGCGAGTAGCTCGACCAGGCGTTCGCCTCAGCTGCCTCTGCCGATGCCTGGCCGGTCTGCCCTAGAAGGGCAGTGGCCTCGTTGGGCATATCGGCTGGGTCAGCCCAGGGATTTGGCTCGCCAGGACCAGCGGGTGACCCCGCAGTCGTGGCGTAGACACCTGCATGTGAGTGGTGCCCTGTGAAGATACCCGCTATGTTGCCAGGAGAGCGCTCGGCAACATGTCCGTAGTTCCTCATCCTGGTCAGCAGCCTGTCATAGTCTGCTTGTGTTCGGGGCATCTGATGATTGAAGGGCTCAAGCAGGTGTTGGGCTCGTGACGCGCCAACGCCTAACGCTCTGAAGAGAATCAGCGTTAGGATCTGAAAGTTGGGGATGACAAAGCCAACAGAGTTAGCCTCGTCACGGGCCATCTCGAATCGAGCTAATACTGAGTCGATTCGCTCGCCCCTTTCGACGCGGAAGTCGATAAGGGCAGTGCCAGAGTTGAGCTGGCGCTCATCTTCCAGATTTTCAAATTTGGTGCTCAGTAAGTACAGTATGTAGGTTACTGCATCCGTTGGCTGTCCATTGACAGTTACACCATAATTGATGATCTGGGAGGGGACCTGCATGGCGATACGACGAGCCAGACCTTGAAGGCCTCGTTGTAGTGCTGCAGCTTGTTGTGGTGGTGTCATATTGCCACTCGTTACGTTTAGCCATGCATGTACTTCGCGAACGTATTCGCGGAAAGGCGTAGTACCGGCAGGGTCCCACGAAGGGCCAGTAGTACGCGTGTCGTCCATCCCCTGCCGCATGTATCCCACAGCACATCCCATTATTACCCACAGAATGCCGAAGATAGTTATCTTGATCCAATGCATGTGCATTTCGGCTTCGGTGATTGGTTTAGGCTGTGGTTTGTCAGGCTCTGGCGTGGTAGCCGTGAGGCGCCTGACCGGCACGGGATGCAGGTGGCCCCGCTGCGGGTAGCCCCGCAGGGTGACCACGTTCTCGATCGAGTTGCCGATTGGCATCTGGTGGAAGTCGGGAGTGTAGTAGCGCAGTGAAGTAGGAGAGAGCGTCTCGAGTTCGCGGGTTACCCCGCTAGCTCGATCGCGGACTGGCTCCGCTCCTCGCAGAGCCGGCGCAACATGGTATTCCACCGTAGTAGTAGTCCACCAAGTTGTGCCGTGGATTACAGGAATCAGAGCGAGAGCCAGCCACACGAGAGTGTAGCCAGCTCCGCTACCAAGTCGAAAACAAGCTGGTAAGCTTAGGTATACAGTCCGCCTTAGGCGCTTCCATATCCCAGGCTTAGGCTCATAGCGCATGAGCAAGAGAGCGAGACGAAGCATGGGATCTGGAGTAAAGAGTAGGATGGGCATCGTCAATGGAAAAGGATGTTTTCCGATCTCGGATGCAAGTAGTGCGCCTCAGTGAGGCGCAGTCACATATCTGGCCGGGCCCGGCTTGAGCCAGGCACGGCAGCGGTACATGCTCGATTTATATCTCGCCTTTAACCTTCTCCGTTTAAAGTCAAGGCGGCCTCCACGACGGCCCAAGAGCGTCCAAGACGGCCCCCCAGAGGCCTCCCAGACGGCCCAAGAGGCCTCCAAGAGGTCCTCCAGGAGGGCCCGAAGAGGCCAACATCATTGATTTTCCTTAGGTTTTCGAAGGATTTTGGAATGTCTTTCTTCTCGGCATTCCGACGGCCCAAGACGGCCCAAGAGGCCCCCAAGATCGCCCAAGAGGCCCCCGAGAGGGCCCCAGGACGGCCCAAGTGGCCTCCCAGATGGCCCCAAGAGGGCCCCAAGACGGCCCAAGAGGCCTCCAACACACGCCCAAGATGGCCTCCAAGACGCCCAAGATGGCCTCCAAGACGGCTCCGAAGCGGTCAAAGAGGGTCCCCCGTGGGCCCAGAAAGGCCCCCAAGACGGCTCCCGACGGCGTCAGACGTGCCAGCAACCCACCAAGATGGCCGAAATTGGCTCGAAGCTGGCCCGACAGGGCCCAAGAGGCTCCCAAGAGGGCCTCCAGGAAGGCCAGACGAGGCCAAAAACGGCCCCAGACGGCCCAGGAGCCCCCAAAGATCGCCCAAGAGGCCTCGAAGACGGCCAAGATGACATTCAAGATGCCCACGTGTTCCCCGAAGGCTTTCCAAACCGATTTGGGGAACACATGGTCCGATGGCTTGGCAGGTCAGGCCTTAACGTTCGGCCACATAGGCGCTTCCAAAAAGGCAGGGGGCGGCGGTGATTCGCCGCAGGCGTCTTAGATCCGCCGCCCCCTGTCGATTCATCGCAGGGGTGCCTGGCGTGCTGAATCGTCGAGAAAGCTTTTGGTCTTGGTTTTTTCCAAAAGAACTCCCCCTGGGGCTCCGGCGCGTCCCGCCGGGGTCCCGGGATTTTTTCCACGGACCTTAATTCCCTACTTTTCTGCCCCAGAAGGCTCCAAGATGGCCAAGATGGCCCAAGATGGCCTCCAAGATGGCCTCCCAGTCCGCCCAAGATGGTCCAAGGCGGCCTCCAAAAAGGACCAAGAGAGTCCAAGACGGCCCGGGACGGCCCAAGAGGCCCCCCAGAGGCCTCCCAGACGGCCCAAGAGGCCTCCAAGAGGTCCTCCAGGAGGGCCCGAAGAGGCTAAAATCATTGATTGTCTTTGGGTTTTTGAAGGATTTGGGAATTTGCTTCTTCTCGGCATTCCAACGGCTCAGGACGGCCCAAGAGGCCCCCAAGATCGCCCAAAAGGCCCCCAAGAGGGCCCCATGACGGCCCAAGAGGCCTCCAAGATGGCCCCAAGAGGGCCCCAAGACGGCCCAAGAGGCCTCCAACACGCCCAACATGACCTCCAAAACGCCCAAGATGGCCTCCAAGACGGCCCCGAAACGCCCCAAGAGGGCCCCCCGTTGGCCCAGAAAGGCCCCCCAGACGGCTCCCGACGGCCTCATACGTGCCAGGAACCCACCAAGAGGGCCTCCAGGAAGGCCAGAAGAGGCCAAACATATTGATTTTCCTAAGGTTTTTGACGGATTTTGACATTTGCTTCTTTTCGGCCTTCCGATTGCCCGAAACGCCCAAGAACCCCCGAAGATCGCCGAAAGATCGCCCAAGAGGCCTCCAAGATGGCCCCAGAACGGCCCAAGAGGGCCCCAAGAGACCCCCAAGATGGCATAGGAGGCCTGTAAGACGCCCTAGGTAGGCCTCCAAGACGGCCCTGGAGCATTCCAAGAGGGCCCCAAGTCGGCCCACAGAGGCCCCCCAAATTGCTTCCGACGGCGTCAGACGGACCAAGAGCCCACCAAGGCGGTCGAACATGGCCCTAAGGTGGCCCAAGACGGCCCAAGAGGCCTTCAAGAGGGCCTCCAGGAAGGCCCGGGAATGCCAAAATCATGGATTCCCCATGGGTCTTTGAAGGATTGTGGCATTTGCATGCTTCTTTTCCTCTTGGCGGAAAACACATTCTGTTGCGAGGCGGGCCCTGAAGTTCGCCACTGAAGTATGAAGGAGCGAAACCGACTGAGGGACCCGCTCGCAGTCCAAAAATTCGAATTGCAGATCATCGACAACCACCCCTTAAATGCGGGCGGTGTGGGTGGGAGCTTGAGACCAGACGGTGGCGGGATGCAAGCATCGTTCACGACAAGCCGAGGCTATCGAAGCATTGCCGTGGTCCCCACAACCATGTTTCTTTTCCTCTTGGCGGAAAGCACATTCTGTTGCGAGGCGGGCCCTGAGGTTCGCCACTGGAGCATGAAAGAGCGAGACCGACTGAGGGACCCGCTCGCAGTCCAAAAATTCGAATTGCAGATCATCGACAACCACCCCGAAGCTTTAGGACCCAGGCCGTAGTTCTCAGCCACGAAGGGCGGGCTACCGACAGGTAAACGCCTTATAACAAAAAGCGTAGGCGAACGCTACAATCATACTTCTGAACGCGCTGCAAGGGAGATCCCAAATATTGGTGACAGCAGAGTTCCCGCTAACAGGCTTGCCAAATTTCTTGGATGCGCAGCGGCTTCGCGCGCGCTCCTCCCTTCCAGCGTTATATGCTTCTTACCCGAGAAGGAACAGAACCCGTGCCGCCCCGTGCACTGGGCCGCCCCTGGGCGCCCCAAAGCCCCGAAGTCAAGGCCATCTCCTCCGAAGACAAGCCTCGTGGCCTTCCGATGGGGCGTCCCAAAGGCACAATGACACACTACAGACGTCCTCACGTCGTTCATAGCAAGCAGGGCTGCCAGGACAGGATCATGCCACATGTAACTGCTATGCGGGTGCTCGATGCAGAACGGGATTTTCAATCTAAAACAAAGGCGTGTTGTACGCATGCAGAAATCCAAGAGACTATTCCCGAGACGCACCTTTGTGAGCTGGGGCTCAGGTAAATCTCTGAGGCCTCGAGGGAACAGCTTGCTACGCAGGGGCGCATTGACATTTTGTACAATGGAGAACGATGCGCAGGGCGGAGCCATCATGATTGCTGGCGCCTGCCCTCGCCGCATGCAACTGCGCAGCTCGGCTTCCACGACCGGTCGGAGCAGGTCGCCCGCCGGCCCCGCCATGACACCCCATTCTCGCGACGAGTAGCCCAGGCGCCGTGCCGAGGCCGCCACTCGCCCTGTGCCGCTGAACAGCTCGGCGACACATGGCGCCAAGGGCGAATCGGCGGCCCCGGCAGCTGGTGCCCACGCACGAGGCACTCCTCGAGCAGGCGCTCGCAGACGAGGGCGTGGGTCTGCTGCACGTCGCTGAGCTCCCTCCAAGCGTCGTTCAGCCTGCCCGCCTTCTCGCACTGGGCCACGCTCTTGGCCGCTCGCCAGCGGCCCCTCTTCACGCACTCGTCCAAGGTCCTTTCTCGATGGGCCCTGTCGATCGAGACCCCGCTGTGCCGGCCCTGGTAAGGCACCATCCTGAAGCCTAGGGCCGCCGCCGCCTGCGCGAACATCTGGTAGAACTGACTGTAGTCCCACGGGAACACGGGCTCCTCCTCGGGACCCCTGGCGAGCCGATAGAACACATAGCTCAGCCAAGGGGTGCGGCTCGAGTCCATCACCACCGCGTCGTCTGCCTCGCCTGTCTTGCTGCGCTGCAAGCCGCGGCTGCGCCGCTCCCCGCGGGCCAGGTCACGACCCTCGAGCACCATGTGGCGAAGAGCCTCGCGTCCGATCTCGCCGGGGAACCGCACCACGTCTCTGTGGAAGCCCTCGGGCCACCCGTGCAGCAAGGAGGCGTGCCAGCGCCAGTCGGCCTTCCGCTCGACATAGCGGTCGCCGTCGGGCGTCTCGATCACCCAGCATTCGTGACGCCGGTCACGATGCACTGGCCACAGCAGAACCCGCTCGTGGGTCCACTCATCGCCGGCGAACCTCACCAGCAAGCGGGCTCCTGGGCGCCGCTCCTCGGAAGTCGACATTTTCGCGGGCAGCCCCTGGCCGAGGGGCGGCCGCCGCGGGCGCACTCCAGCGGCCCAGCACGAAGGACACCAGCAGCAGCACCAGCCAAAGCCAAGTCGGCGCCGCCGACGCCTCCTCCCAAGCCACGGCGCCCACCGAGGGAGGCCCCGCCTGTAGCAGCTCCCATGTCGGGCAGGGCGGGGGCGATGGGCAGCCCGGGCAGGCTGGGCAGGGCGCGGGGCGGCAGTCGGGGCAAGGGGGGCAACTCTGAGGCCCCCTGAAAAACACCCGCGCCGCTTCTGCCACCGCGCCGCGAGCCAGCTCCCGCAGCACGCTGGGCCCACCCTCCGCCAGGGCCGCGCAGAGGCTTTCCACCATCCGCCTGGTGAGAGCCCTGCGCGCTGAAGCTTGAGACCAGACGGTGGCGGGATGCAAGCATCGTTCACGACAAGCCGAGGCTATCGAACCATTACCGTGGTCCCCACAATCAACGGCCCGAGACGGCCCAAGTGCCCCCAAAGATCGGCCAAGAGGCCCAAGACTCGGCCCCAAGAGGGCCCAAGACGGCCCAAGAGGCCTCCAAGACGCTCAAGATGGCCTCCAAGGCGGCCCAAGAGCCCTCCAAGACGTCCTCCAAGAAGGCCCGAAAGGGTCAAAATGGCCTCCAGGCGGCCACGATGACCTTCAAGATGCCCACGTGTTCCCCGAAGGCTTTCCAAACCGATTCGGGGAACACATGGTCCGATAGCTTGGCAGGTCTGGCCTCAACGTTCGGCCACATAGGCGCTTCCAAAAAGGCAGGGGGCGGCGGTGATTCGCCGTAGGCTTCTTCGATCCACCGGTCCCCTGTTGATTCATCACAGGGGTGCCTGGTGTGCTGAACTCTTTCGGTTTTGGTTTTGGTTCTTTTTCCAAAAGGACTCTCTCTGGGGCTCCGGCCCAACCCGCCAGGGTCACAGAAAGGCCCGGAAAGCCCACAAGAGGTGGTTGCAAACGGTTTTCCTGGCCCAGACGGCTCCAAGACGGCCCCAGATGGCCTCCAAGATGCGTTCAAGACGGCCAAATGGCCTCCAAAACGGCCAAGATGGCCCCAATATGCCTCCAAGACGGCCCAAGATGCCCCCATAGGAGGCCTCCAATATGGCCCAAAAGGCCCTCCAGGAAGTCCGCCGCCCCCTGTTGATTCATCACAAGGGTGCCTGGCGTGCTGAATCCTTTCGCTTCTGATTTCGGTTCTTTTCCCAAAGGAACCCTCCCTGGGGCTTCGGCCAGTCCCACCAGCCACCCGATAGGGACCTGAACGACCGCAAAAAATCATCCAAGAGGGCTCCAGATGGACTCCAAGATGGCCACGTTGGCCCAAGATGGCGTCCAAGTCGCCAACGATGGTCCAAGAAGGCCTCCAAGACGGCCCGAGAGAGTCCAAGATGCCTTCAAGTTCGTCCAAGAAGCCTCCAAGACGGCCCAAGATGGCTTAGGACTGGCCACGAGGCCCCTAAGAGGCCTCCAGGACGTCCTCGAGGAAGGCCCGAAAGGGCAAACATCATTGATTTTCCTTTGGTTTTTGAAGGACTTTGGCATCTTCTTGTTATCAGCTCTCCGACGGCGCAAGACGGCCCAAGAGGCCCCCAACATCGTCCCAAGAGCGCCCAAGAGGCCTCCAAGATGGCCCAATGACAGCCCAAGAGGCCCCCATGAGGGCCCCAAGAAGAGCCCAAGACGGCCCAAGATGGCCCCGAAGACGCCCAATATGGCCTCCAAGACGGCCAAGACTGTCCCAAAACAGCGAAGATGGTCCCAAAATGCACCCAAGACGGCCGCAAGTGGCCTGAAGATGGCCTTTGACTGCCCAAAAGGCCCGCAAGAGGCCTCCCAGACGGCCCAAGAGCCCTCCAGAACGTCCTCCAGGAGGCCCGAAAACTCGGAAACCACCTGGTCCGATAGCTCGCCCGACTCCGTGTTCCCCAGAGGCTTTCGAAACCCGTTCGGGGAGCGCGTGGCCCGATAGCTTGGACAAGCTCAAACCCAGCTTTCGGCCACGCAGGCGCTTCCAAAAAGGCAGGGGGCGGCGGCGATTCGCCGTAGGCGTCTTCGATAACTTCCACAGCCTTCGCAAACCCTGTCTGACTCCCTGTGGGGGTCGGCGGGAAGATGCGGGCCCAAACCAAAACTGTTCCAACAAGACTACGGCAGAAGAGCAACGGCAAACATGCCCAAGAGGCCCCAAAGCGGCCTCCCAAAGGCTTCAAAACTGCCTCCCAGGGGCCCCAGAGGGGCTTCCCACGAGATTCCAACCAGCACCCTTACAACCCATAACCCAAGCACGGTGGCGGGAAGTGCCGTAGGCGGCTGGACATAGATCTCTCCGACGCTGTCTTCAGCGTAAACTTCCCACTCTCCACTCTCTATTCTCTCTCGCTCTCTCTGCTCCTTTACTTCCCATCCCCCATCCCGGCAAGAAACGTTACCTCAGGTACAACTGTGTCGGGCACTGGGCGGTTGCTCATGCTCCACGCCCAGGCACTCCTGCAAAAAGCCTGCTCGTAGACTGGCATACTGCCCTGGAGTCCCCCGTGGGATCCGCAGCAGCAAGTGCGGGCACTCGGCACGCAGCCCTGCGCGGGAGACCAGCAACACGGAACATGATGGGCCTGACATTTAGATGCGACGACGAGCGCGAATCGCACCCCATGAGTTCCAGTAGTGAGCTGTGGGCACAGCGAACACAGCCAGATGTTTCTGGCTGGCGGGCAGAAAAACTTGACCCCGCGGCGATCGATGGGGGGGGACTGAGAAGGGGCGGGCCTTCTCAAAAGGCTCGGGGGTCCGTCGGCCTTCTGCGCAGTTCCCCAAGCCTTCCCGGAAGCAGCAACAACCCCACAGAAGGCGCGAGGGCTTTTGAGAAGGCCCGCCGCCTTCTGACACGGCTCTCTCTTTCCCACTTCCCCTGTCTGCCCGCCGCCCATTGACTTCCAACGTCGAATTCGCAGACCTTGATGAAGGCAGAAGCGGCGTCTCCGCTCCGCGTGTGGCGTCTGGCGGGCGCCGCGGCGCCGCCGCCCAGCGCGGCCCCGTCAGCCATGCAGCCAGAACTGACTATAAATGTGGGACCAATCGAGAGTGGCATCGGGCTGGCTGCGAGGCGAGGGTTCACCCATCATCACCGCCCGCGGATAGATATCTGGGAACTTCGGCAGGCGGTGGATATCGAAGTACTGGCGCACCAGGAGCGGCCACGCACATGCGCACACACACGCACGCACACGCACACGCACACGCACACACGCACACGCACACGCACAAACGCACACACACACACACACACTCGCACACACACTCGCACACACACTCGCACACACACGCACACACACACGCACACACACACACACATTCACACACACACACACACACGCACACGCACACGCACACGCACACGCACACGCACACGCACACGCACACGCACACGCACACGCACACGCACACGCACACGCACACGCACACACACGCACACCGCACACCACACACGCACACGCACACGCACACCAACACACACGCACACGCACACGCACACGCACAC